CCCATGGTCCTGGAGGCCGCCAAAGGCCTATTGGATTTTTCTCCTGCCAACTGGATATTGTGGCCAGAGGACGTCCCTCTTGCCTTCGGGCCGTCTTTGCTGCCAGAGAGCTCATTGAAAGAACTGGGGATCTTGTCCTTGGCCACCCCCTGGTTGTCTTGGCCCCTCATGACATTTCTGCCATAGTCAACCAGGTCCAACTTAAGCATGTTACTCCTGCTAGGCATCTTCGCCTTCAATGTCATCTTTTGTTGCCTGACAACATTACCCTCCAAAGATGTCAAGTTCTCAATCCGTCCACTCTTCTGCCACTCCCTGAGGGGGGTGTATACTACGGATTCATCATGGACGAAATTTATGTTTCTCTTCTCACTGGCACCATCAAGAAGGAAATGCATCCCAACCTATCCTTTTATGATGGACAAGCACTCCTTCATGACGGAGCAAGACATGCCTTCTGTACCATGTGGTACAAACCAAACATCACTCCTGAACCCTGCTATGAAGATGAACTCTATAAGCTGGTTGAAGTAAAACTCACTGCACAAGACTTCTACTGTGATTCTGAAGGCAACAGTATGGTCTTGATTCATCTACCTCCGGAACTCAAGCATTTGTACCGTCATTGGGACACTGCCATTCCACATGTCCCTGTGACCAAGTTGAAAACAATATCATGGAATGATCTTGGGCCTATGGCAAAAGCATGGGCCACTATGGACGAATCACAGCTACAGGAAAATGGTGTTGTCAAATATCCAACAACTGACCACCTAAAAGCATGGCCGCGTCATTTCCTGGAGAATGAGTTCCAAGATTTAACCATAGTGAATGACTACGACCCAGATACACCTCATGACTGTTTTGAACAGATGAAAATGGAAACAACACATCTACCAACTGTGCATGAAGACCCATTGGTAGATCCCGATCTCACCCTGTTTGTGGACGGCTCAAGATATGCTGATGAAGAAGGAAGATACCATACAGGATATGCCGTAACCACAACAGATGAAATTGTCAAATCATCATCTTTACCATCAACTATGTCTGCACAAGAAGCTGAATTGCAAGCCCTGACTTCAGCATGCAAGATCTCTGAAGGAAAGCGCGCCAATATCTACACGGATTCAAGATATGCACTGGGCGTGGCTCACGACTTCGGATTAATTTGGAAAACAAGAGGATTTCTTACCACCACCGGTACACCAATCAAGCACGGTTCCGCGATCAAGGAGCTGATGGACGCCCTCCTACTCCCAGAAGAAGTGGCTATTTTGAAGATAAAAGCACATGGGAAGTTGGACTCAGATGAAGCAAAGGGCAACCATCTAGCTGATCAGGCTGCAAAACAAGCTGCAAAAGAACCACAGGAAGTGGAAAGAAGAGTGTCCGGAAATGAAGAAACTCCCATATTTACTCTGCAGACTCTTCCAACTGACCTGAAAATCCTGCGGGAACAACAGGCTACAGTTGCCCCTGAAGAAATACAGAAGTGGAAACAGAAAGGGGCAGTTCTGAAGGATGGAGTGTACTCCAACAACCTCAATTTCTGCCTCCCTAAGAATTTGTACCCAGCAGTCGTACAATGGGCACACGGACCTGCACATTTATCAAAGGATCTAATGAATGCTCTTGTACAAAAATACTACCTCACTGTCCCCATATGAGATTCTATTTGGGACTGCACCTAGGCTAGGTTGCTATTTTCCCCAACAACTACATCTTCAAACTGATGTTTTAGTAGATTATGTAACTGAACTCGCAAATGCTTTGAACAAAATCCATGCCCAAGTTTTCTCTTCAATTCCAGATCCTGATTCTGACACAGGCAACCACAGTCTGCTCCCCGGTGACTGGGTTCTGGTCAAGAAATTTGTGCGAAAACACACCCTGGAACCAAGATTTGACGGACCGTTCCAAGTTCTCCTGATCTCCCCTACCTCTGTCAAATTGGCCGGAAGGCCTAACTGGATCCACGCTTCCCACTGCAAGAAGACACCTGCCCCAGAGGAAGCTAACTCTATGCAACCATGTGCCTCTGGTACATTATCTCCTTAGTTGGCCTCCTTAAAGCCCAGCAGGTGGCCATCACCAAAGATGCTAGTGGGTACACTTTCTGGTATAATTCATCATGTACCCATGTGGCTACATTCACTTTTGATTACTGTGATATTGTAGAATGCCCATTCCCTAAGTCACAGATTCAAGCCATTTATAAAGATATACCACAAGCAAAAGACCCTTACGTTTGTGTAGTAGATGAACAATGGGGTTATGACTGTAACTACTGGGGGGCTGCGGGATGGAATACTGGGCCTGCCTGGGGTTATAAACCCAAAAGTGCTTTATCTAAGATAGACAATCAGGGTAGATCCCTCCTTCAAAGAATGACTTTAAGAAAGCCTGGAGGAAGTACCCCTATGAAATTAATGTTAAATATTGAACATCCTGGCCCCGAGGATGCAGACCGATATGTAATGGGAATGTATTGGAAGAAAGGTTCCTACAACAAATTAGGTCATTTCTACCTCAGAGATATGTACCACTCTCCAGAGTGGCAAGGGGCTGATCATATGGTCCCAAATCCGCTAAAACCACATATCCAGTCCTTTAAAGATATGATGGCCATCGCTAACCCCACTTTTGAAGATACCATGGCCGCTGAAACTGGATTCAATGACATTAATTTGTGGTTAGAATGGATGAGGTATACTGCTAATAAACATAATAAAACAGCATGTTATGTATGTGGCGGTGCCCGACCCCACCTTGGCACCGTCCCCCTAACTCTCCCTTTAGAGATAGAAGATTGCTTCTTAAGCCTTTTTGCCTACCAATATGACTTTAATAGGTCCCTCTGCATGGCATGGACGGCAGAATACCCTCTCTTAGTTGAAAATGTTAAGCCACCAGATGGAATCACAGTCTATAGAGGTAATTACACTTGTTATGCCATGTATGACGGGATTGGTAAATTCATGGGTAATTTTTCTAAAGGTTATTGCGCCACTTACAGAACTGTTCCTATACGCCTGTTGCAACACCATACCAGGTCATTGGGGGATATTTACTGGTTATGTGGGGATCTACAGTTAAGATCTAGGCTGGAAACTGAGTGGTGGGGTGAGTGTACCCTGGCCAAAGTTATCATGCCCATTCATATTATTTCTGATAATCATCATGACACATACGACCCTCCACATACATCAGCCAGAGTAAGGCGCGAAACCCCAGTAAAAGGCAGTTTTGACCCCCACATTTACATAGATGCCATTGGGGTGCCTAGGGGGGTACCTAATGAATTTAAAGCTAGAGATGAAGTAGCTGCAGGTTTTGAATCACTTTTTACCATAGTCACTGCCAACAAAAACCTTAATTGGATTAATTATATCTATTACAACCAACAGCGCTTCGTGAACTACACCAGGGATGCCCTCCAGGGCTTGGCCGAGCAATTACAGGCCACATCCCAAATGACCTTCCAGAACAGACTGGCCTTAGACATGATCTTAGCCGAAAAAGGGGGTCTGTAAAATACTTCCCGACACTATGACTTGTTGCACTTACATTCCAGAAAACACAGGTCCTAATGGTAAAGTCACTCTAGCCATAGCTAAATTAAATAGACTCTCAGAAGAGTTAAAGAGAAACTCTGGAGTTACTGATCCCTGGGAAAAATGGTTTGGTTGGATGACTGGTTGGCAGAGAGCTTTAGTCCAGATTGGTATTGCCTTACTAATTTTTCTTTTTATTCTCGCTCTTCTCATTTGTTGTGTCCTCCCATGCCTAAGGAAATTCCTGCAGAAAACTGTAGACCAAGCAACACCAACCTTCACTCATCTGACAATCGATGATCAAGACCTCATCTCACCCTGTATTCCGCTACAAACTCTCCCGTATACTGATGAAGTGCAGAAAGTCTAGGAAGGGACAGTACAGGGACAGCGTCCGTCTTTATGGGTAGACTGCCGTACGGAGAAGTAGTGGATAAGCCACTATGGGTTACCAGCGGAGTGAAGAGTGTTCCTGAACCGTACTGACGGATGTGCTGCAGCCTGTTAGGGTCAAGAGAGGGATAGACTTGCACTTTGCATTAACACTAAGTCAGCGGTCATGGGGTTTCTGTGTCTTTGGGCTAATACTTCTTCTGATACTAACAAATAAAGTTTTGTCTTTTAGCAAATAACATTTTAGGGGGGACTGTTGTAGAATTATTAGGCCTCTATAAATCTGTAAGGCCCCTTTAAATCCTCTTGCTAAACCTCTAAGAGGCCCCCATAGTTTTACAAGAAAGCTTTGTCTATAGAACATAGAATTTGCATGCCAGCAAGAAATAGCTTTGATAAAATGTGTATTTACTAAAAGCCTTGAAACCTAACCTTGAGAAACTAACCGTGCCAGCTACACTCTAAATGGATGGCTGCCAAAGCACCCCTCCCATCGAGTGAACACCTCGTGCTAACAAGATGGCGCCTACATCTTGTGTCCACTCCCGTGTCAAGGATGACATCACCTCTTGATAGGAGGGTACCTAACTAACCACTTAACACCTGGACCAATCAATAGTGTCTATTTGTCTATATCTTGATTTTCTTCAATGATGTAATAATGCCTTTAAAAGGGTCTGCGCACCCATTTTCTGTCAGAAGCCATTAAACTTCTCTGAAGTTCTTTCATTACCCTGAACCTTGTGTCTCAGTGTGAATTTACTTCTGCGTGCACGCTACTTTATTATCTTTAATTTGGACAGGAACAGATAGTCATTCAAACTAATTGGTTTGCAGTAAATTATATACGACATAGTGACACAGTAACAGAGGGATTGAGGGCCTGCTCAGTGAGTTTACATGTTAGAGGGAGTGGGGTATAGTGACACAGTAACAGAGGGATTGAGGGCCCTGCTCAGTGAGTTTACATGTTAGAGGGAGTGGGGTATAGTGACACAGTAACAGAGGGATTGAGGGCCCTGCTCAGTGAGTTTACATGTTAGAGGGAGTGGGGTATAGTGACACAGTAACAGAGGGATTGAAGGCCCTGCTCAGTGAGTTTACATGTTAGAGGGAGTGGGGTATAGTGACACAGTAACAGAGGGATTGAGGGCCCTGCTCAGTGAGCTTACATGTTAGAGGGAGTGGGGTATAGTGACACAGTAACAGAGGGATTGAGAGCCTGCTCAGTGAGTTTACATGTTAGAGGGAGTGGGGTATAGTGACACAGTAACAGAGGGATTGAGGGCCTGCTCAGTGAGTTTACATGTTAGAGGGAGTGGGGTATAGTGACACAGTAACAGAGGGATTGAGGGCCTGCTCAGTGAGTTTACATGTTAGAGGGAGTGGGGTATAGTGACACAGTAACAGAGGGATTGAGGGCCCTGCTCAGTGAGTTTACATGTTAGAGGGAGTGGGGTATAGTGACACAGTAACAGAGGGATTGAGGGCCTGCTCAGTGAGATTACAAGAAAGAGACTACCCACTTATCCCCCCAATAACGACAGACCATGCATATTGGATGAAACAGGCCACAGCATTTATTAAAACTTACAACTGTAGGACACATCCGAACTTTATTCTTTTCCTTTTAATTCAAATATAAATAAACACATAAATATATATATATATATATATATATATATATATATATATATATACATACCATAATTAACATATAAATTAACTTATTTCCCTACAGCCTTCAACTTAAATAATCGTCCTTGCCAACGAACTTAAACAGGTGCCTATGCACCAAAAACTTTACCCACTGGTGTCTCGCCTCCCCCCTCGTCCAAACCAAATTCCCATCATCTTAAATGCTCTAACCACCAGCCGGCTCTTAGCTCGGTGGGCACGTCCAATTTGGTAACTTGAAAGTTTACCTTACAGAGCAGGGGAGGTTGAGACCCACCTTGTCCATCTCCTGACATTCCATCTGCTCCCCAACCCTGTTGGCAAGGACATGCTCCCCGCCACAAACCTCGCTGTTTTAAGCCCTAAAATCTGCGGGGAGACCCACCAAAACCAACCAAGGCCTGTTCCACCGCCTCCTGGATTGCAAGATTAAAGAGGTCGTGCACGCCATCACTCCTGAACAAATTAGCTGCCTCCCGCTCAAACACCCTATGGCACCCTGGAATACCGTTTACCCCTAACACGAACTTGGAGACCCTCCGGTTCAATTTAACCCGACAACGGTCCATCGCCCGTTGATTATGGGCCCGCTGCCAGTAGTTTCGTGAAATGACATCCGACCAGACCATGTTGAATGTCTGGGAACAAAACCAATACCCGCGCTTGTTAAGACACCTCCAGTGTCTTTAGGCAAAACCGCCGTTTAGTAAACCTTCCCCGGCTGCAGTACAGTCTCCGTTCGCTTACTCTGTAACATACGAACCAAATGCAGGGGAAGCGTCAATCTCCCGATCGAAATCCACGAACGGCTCCAAACTCCCGAACGGCAATACACGAACTGCTGGTAACCGTCGAACAGTAATATCCCCAAAGCGGCTTTCGTTCCATCCAGCAGTCTCTAAACGTGAAGAAGAAATCCCCCCCAATAACGAGACAGAAGCTCTGCATTGAGGGTCAAACAGAATCTGGTTTTACTGTGGGCTACCTGCCCGTATTTATGCAGGTCTCCCACCTGGTGGACACTCCCCTAGGGGACCAAATGGGAGACTTAAACTACAGACAGATAGAGGGACATTTCAGACACACAGTCACTTATTTTACCCACAGTGCATTATGATTCCCTCCCCTCTGCCCTGGAGTTAATTACCAAGTAACTCCATTAACTCCAGGACAAGGACAGTCGCCATTTTAGACATAAAATAATAAAAGACATAAAAATACATAACTACATGAAAACTGAACATTTCCCATTCGTATTACATGTCCCCAGATAGCCTGGATCTGAGTGCATATTATTAGCGAATAGCGCTCAGATCCCACACACATAGTTCAATCGCCATGGAGTCAAAGTTCTTACAGTCTTTCGGTAGACGAATGACTCCATGGGAGGGCTATCTGGGTTAAGTCTTTTCGTATGCTCTCAATCTCCCGAACGGCCGGTGTTCGCATGCTTTCGTGGAGGCAGCCAGGCGTTCCCTTGTTTCAGCGGTGTTCGGCAGAAAAAGTGTCCGTTTTTAGTTCCATAGAATTAGAGCCAAACACCGCTGGGCGTTCGTGTGATTTAAAATGGCCGCTGCCTCGTGGTCGACATACGAACGACGACCACCCTGAATTCGGTTTAATTGAGAAGTGTCTGCGGTTAACCACAACGTTCTAATTGGGATCAGTTTGTTAACCAGCAGCACACTCCTCACTTGGGTGGCCGTTCGTTCGGCGGGTTTGTTCGGGAAAAAGAGTCATTCGAATGGCTGGGCTATAGAAACCAGCCATTCATACGAACGGGGGACAAACAGACGAACGGGCAAAAATCCAGCAGACAGATGGTTCTGTCACACGGCTCCCTCCTTGTGGGACACTCCGGCAGACCCGGCTTGACCCTGTGGCGGGTCAACTTGGGGATGACCGGACTAAGAGGTGATGGAAACGTCTGTTTGTCGTGACAACCCATCTGCATTCCCATTCAGCTTACCGGGTCTGTAGCTGATGGTAAAATTGTAGGGCTGTAGGGCCAAGCTCCATCTCAGCAGTCTCCCATTGTCTCCTGAGACCCGGTTAAGCCAAACGAGTGGGTTGTGATCAGTCACCAGGGAAAACTCTTGTCCATACAGATAGGGGCTTAACTTTTTCAATGCCCAGACCAAGGCCAAACACTCCTTCTCCACTGCCGCATAACTCACTTCTCTGGGTAACAACTTTCTGCTGAGATATGCGACAGGGTGCTCTCCTCCATCTTCCCCGACTTGGCTCAGCACAGCCCCCAGTCCATACATGGAAGCATCTGTATGGACGAGAAAGCGTTTGTTAGGGACTGGGGCTGCCAAGACAGGGGCATTCACGGGAGCCTGCTTCAGTGCCTGGAACGCAGCTTCACAAGCCGGAGACCACAGGACCTGCTTAGGCAAGTTTTTCTTGGTCAGGTCTGTCAGGGGCTTAGCAATAGCGCTGTAGTCAGGGACAAAACGTCTATAGTACCCTGCCGTCCCCAAGAAGGCCAATACCTGGGTCTTAGTAGTAGGTGTGGGCCAGTTAGCCACTGCCTCTACCTTGGCTGGCTCTGGTCTCTGGCTCCCACACCCCACTCTGTGACCCAGGTACTGTACTTCAGCCATACCTAGATGACACTTTTCTGGCTTCAATGTCAGGCCAGCGGCCCTAATCTTATCCAGCACATGTACCAGGTGTTCCTCCCAGGACCCACTGTAAATCGCAATGTCGTCCAAGTATGCACAGGCAAATTCTTGGAAGCCATCCAGGAGTCTATCCACCATCCGTTGGAAGGTAGCCGGTGCATTTTTCATCCCAAAAGGCATGACCTTAAATTGGTACAGGCCAAATGGGGTGACAAATGCCGACTTGGGATAGCATCCTCGGCCAGGGGATCTGCCAGTAGCCCTTACACAGGTCTATGGTGGTCAGATATCGCCCCCTGGCAATACGATCCAGTAATTCGTCTACCCGGGGCATTGGGTAGGCGTCAGTGGTGGTCCGCTCGTTGAGTCGCCTGTAGTCCACACAGAACCGGTTGGTCCCATCTTTCTTGGGCACCAGGACTACAGGCGAGGCCCAAGGGCTGTCGGAGTGCTCGATAACTCCAAGCTGGGTCATCTCCTGTATCTCCTTCCGCATTCCTTCACGGACTGCTTCAGGGATACGATAGGGGGGCTGTCGTAACGGGGTCTGTCCAGGGGTCTCTACCTTATGCACAGCTAGGGTGGTATAACCTGGTTCCTGGGAGAACGTCGCCTGCTTCTCCCATAACAACTGCTGCGCCTGTACCCTTTCTGTGGGGTTCAACTGGTCCCCTAGCTGTACCAAGGTAGTAAGGTCAGTCTGGGAATCCCTTTCTAATAGATCGGGAAGGGGTAAATTCTCAGAATCATCTGCAGCTGGGGCACATACTGCTGCAATATTCTCAGGTCTCTCCTGGTACTCTTTCAGCATGTTCACATGAAAGGACCGCTGGATCCTCTCATCTGCACAGCTGGCTATCAAGTAAGTAGTGTCGCAGATCTGCGCCACTAAATTGTACGGGCCCTGCCAAGATGCTTGTATCTTGTTGGCCTTCACAGGTTTGAGCACCAATACCTTTTGCCCAACCTGGAAGACCCGCTGTCGGGCACCCTGATCGTACCATCTTTTCTGTCTCCCCTGGGCCACCTGGAGATTCTCCCTTACCATCAGGGACAGTTTCTCCATGCGGTCCCGGAGTTCCAGAACATATGGCACAATTGGGGTCCCCTCTTGCTCCGTCTCCCCCTCCCAGTGGCCTCTAATGAGATCTAGGGATCCGCGGACCCTTCTCCCATACAGCAGCTCAAAGGGGGAGAACCCAGTAGATTCCTGGGGCACCTCTCTATAAGAAAATAATAGATGAGGCAGGAATCTCTCCCAGTCTCTGCAAGTGTCTGTAAAGGTCCTCCGCATCTGTTTGAGGGTACCGTTAAAGCGCTCGCAGAGACCGTTAGTCTGTGGGTGGTAGGGTGAGCTAAGTAACGGCTTAATGCCGCACACCTTCCACAGTTGCTGGGTGAGCACAGCGGTAAATTGGGTTCCCTGGTCGGAGAGAATCTCCTTAGGGAACCCGACCCTAGTAAAAATTCTAACCAGGGCATCAGCAACCGTCTCTGCCTCTATATTAGACAGCGCTACTGCCTCTGGATAGCGAGTGGCATAGTCCACCACAGTAAGAACGTATTTCTTACCTGATGGACTAGCCCTGGCCAGTGGACCCACAATGTCAACGGCTATGCGGGCAAAGGGCTCCCCTATAATAGGCATCGATAATAGCCCAGCCTTAGGGTGGTCCCCCCGCTTTCCTACCCGTTGACATGTGTCACACGTGCTGCAGTACATCCGCACAGCCTGGTTGAAGTTTGGCCAAAAGAAATTCTGTGCGATCCTATAGGCTGTGCGGCGGGACCCTAGATGTCCAGCTAATGGAACATCATGCCCTATCCGCAGAATCTCCTGCCGGTACTTTGCAGGTACCACTAACTGGTGATTCGGCGGAGAGGCAACACTCTTCTGGGAAGGTTTAGGGATCCTATATAACCTGTCCCCCACCCACTCATACCGTTCCCCATCTATCCCTTCCTCTCCAGCATCTGCCCTGTCTTTGTACTTTTGGAGGGTCGGATCTGCCCGGGTTTCCCTCCCAAACTCCTCTGGGGAATCCCAGCTTAAGGGGACCTGATCTGGGGTACCAGTCGGGGAAGGAGATCTTACCTGGGTCTCATCAGCAGGTGGGCTGGTTCCGGCAGCACGGGCCTGGGCACGGGTGGTCACTGTGTTCACATCTGCAGGGCCCATCGGAGCATAGGCTGAAACCAAAGGGGCCAAATCGTTTCCCAGAAGAACATCTGCGGGCAAGTCCTTCATCACCCCCACATCCACATGTCTAGGGCCCACTCCCCAATCCAAATGTACCCGGGCAACAGGTAAGCGAAACACGGCACCCCCTGCTACCCTTACTGCCACAGTGTCCCCAGTGTGTTGATGCTCTGAGACCAAGTTCTTTTGGAGTAGTGTCATCGTGGCTCCGGTGTCTCTCAGCCCATTTACTACTCTGCCATTCAGCTTCACAGTTTGCCGATGTTGCTGGCGATTATCCTGATGAGCTGCTTGCACTGGGTCTGCCTCGTGTAGGATGCCCCAGAATTCCTCCTGCTCTATGCAGTGAACAGCAGGCTGAGGTGGGCGCTGGTTTCCATTAACTGGTCTCCTCCAGGACTGAGCCTGGTTGGCACTGTTCAGTGGGCACTCAGGACGCTTGTGCCCCAATTGCTTGCACCCAAAGCACCGGATGGGTTGGGAATACTCACGGGCATTAAATCGGGCTGTCTGCACATAATTGTTAGCTGGTGGTGCGGCTGGGGTACGGTGTACTGGGGGTTGGTAGACTGAAGGAGCGGGTATTACTGCTGGTCGATACTCCAGTCTGGCAGGGGCTTTGGCAGCTGTACCATCCTACTTGCGGGCGTCCGTGTATTCGTCTGCCAGACGAGCAGCCTCGGGTAGGGTAGAGGGTTTTCTATCTCTGACCCATTCCCGGACCCCAGCAGGTAGTCTATCAAAACAGTGCTCCAGCAGGAACACTTGTAATACCTCCTCCCCAGTTACCGCTTGGCATCCAGCCATCCAGTGGGCTGCGGTACGATGGACTCTGCAGGCCCATTCCACATAAGAGTCCCCAACCAGCTTGTTGGTTTCTCTAAACCTCCGCCTGTACGCCTCTGGGGTCACCGCATACCTGGCTAGGAGCGCCTCTTTCACAGCCCGGTAGCTGGTGATCTCCTCAGGGATGGCCCGAAACGCCTCACTAGCCCGGCCAGATAATTTCCCAGAGAGGATGGTGACCCATTCATCTGCAGGTACCTGATGTAGCGCACACTGCCTCTCAGTCTGCTAGAAACCCATCAATCTCTCCCTCAGTTTCCACAAAATTTTTAAATGCAGCAAAAGGTACCTTCTTTCTAGCAACCACATTATTATCGTACGGTACCTCTGCTGCTGCAGCTCCTCTTTCCCGGAGCGCCTGCTGTGCTGCAACTGCTGCCTGCACACGAACCACGATGTCAGCTGAGGGGTTGGGGCCAAAATGTGCCAGCCTTATTTGCACTGCCCGGTTAAATTGTATTTCCTCGGGTGTTAAATCCAAGGTACTGGGCACGTTGACTCTTTCCATTCCCGTTGCTGCATCCATCTCCATTAGCAAAGCAATAATCTCCCATTTCTTTAAATTGCTTGCTGACCTTCCTCGGCGTTCCAATATGTCCTTAAGTGTAGCACGCCTTAATTCCTCGTACTGCATGTCTTGTAGCTGACCTCCAGTGCTGTAGGATTCATCCCGTCGCTTGCCACCAATTGTTAAGACACCTTCAGTGTCTTTAGGCAAAACCGCCGTTTAGTAAACCTTCCCCGGCTGCAGTACAGTCTCCGTTCGCTTACTCTGTAACACACGAACCAAATGCAGGGGAAGCGGCAATCTCCCGATCGAAATCCACGAACGGCTCCAAACTCCCGAACGGCAATACACGAACTGCTGGTAACCGTCGAACAGTAATATCCCCAAAGCGGCTTTCGTTCCATCCAGCAGTCTCTAACCGTGAAGAAGAAATCTCCATAATAACGAGACAGAAGCTCCGCATTGAGGGTCAAATAAGATCTGGTTTTACTGTGGGCTACCTGCCCGTATTTATGCAGGTCTCCCACCTGGTGGACACTCCCCTAGGGGACCAAATGGGAGACTTAAACTACAGACAGATAGAGGGACATTTCAGACACACAGTCACTTATTTTACCCACAGTGCATTATGATTCCCTCCCCTCTGCCCTGGAGTTAATTACCAAGTAACTCAATTAACTCCAGGACAAGGACAGTCGCCATTTTAAACATAAAATAATAAAAGACATAAAAATGCATAACTACATGACAACTGAACATTTCCCATTCGTATTACATGTCCCCAGATAGCCTGGATCTGAGTGCATATTATTAGCGAATAGCGCTCAGATCCCACACACACAGTTCAATCGCCATGGAGTCAAAGTTCTTACAGTCTTTCGGTATACGAATGACTCCATGGGAAGGCTATCTGGGTTAAGTCTTTTGTATGCTCTCAATCTCCCGAACGGCCGGTGTTCGCATGCTTTCGTGGAGGCAGCCAGGCGTTCCCTTGTTTCAGCGGTGTTCGGCAGAAAAAGTGTCCGTTTTCAGTTCCATAGAATTAGAGCCAAACACCGCTGAGCGTTCGTGTGATTTAAAATGGCCGCTGCCTCGTGGTCGACATACGAACGACGACCACCCTGAATTCGGTTTAATTGAGAAGTGTCTGCGGTTAACCACAACGTTCTAATTGGGATCAGTTTGTTAACCAGCAGCACACTCCTCACTTGGGTGGCCGTTCGTTCGGCGGGTTTGTTCGGGAAAAAGAGTCATTCGAATGGCTGGGCTATAGAAACCAGCCATTCATACGAACGGGGGACAAACAGACGAACGGGGTAAAAATCCAAGCAGACAGATGGTTCTGTCACAGCGCTAAATCCCTCTTAATTGCGTTCCCCAACCCCCAAATAGGCATAGTCCCGAGATCATTACCCCCCAGGTGAATCACAAGAACAGTAGGTGGACCCAAAAGCCGGGCAAGCTGAACTAGCTCAGGGAGAAGCCGGACCCACTTCATACCTCTATTCCCAAACCAGCGAACCTCCACTTCAGAAGGCGTGAAACCAAGCAGCCCACCTCCCTGACAGACAGCTGCCCGCCGTCTGGCCCAGAAGACATACAAGTGTCCGATCACCCAGACCCTGGGGGCACTCCCACCTAAGGAGAAAACATCTATTTAGGAGGCGGGAAGGACGAACATATGAGACAAAACGCCCACCTCCCAATCCTCTGGACCGCTTGCGCTGACATTCCCAGCCTAGAAGCTTCAGTGGCAGCGCCAATCCTAAATGAATGCCCCCCAAACTCCTTACTGTCAACCCCCAATACCTCCAATCCAGAACGAAAAACTCAAATAAATTGAAAATGGGACAGAAAACTCCAGGGGAGGGCTGGCAGACTTAGGCCTGGGGGGCAAAACCAGTCAAGTGGCCCATTGCACCACCAAATCAGTTCACCATCCATGCCCACCTTTTCCTGGTTTTATAACGGATATTGATGTTATGCTAATCAGTAGCTCTTTGCCATACCCGCTCCTTCACGGCTCTGACTTTCAATGTTGTCAGAGCGCAGGCTGAGAATCTCTGAGCTTGTGCTCCGACTCACTAACTGAGCGCCAGAACCACAAGGGCGCCTCTATTGTCATGGCACCCTGCGTGACCTGCGGAAAGGTGAGTTAAAAACACACATGTACACACCCCATGAAACACACATACCGTGACACACACACACCGTGACACACACACCATTAGACAGACACACACACACCATGACACAGACACACACACACACCTGCCATGGCACACACACACAATGGCACAGACAGACAAATACACCATGACAGACTGACACACATTAATGCTACCTGTGGGCGACTGGCCAGGGGGTCGTGCAGGGCAGACTGCTGGGTGTGTTGGCGGCCGCAGGGCAAGCAGTGCTGCCGTGTGCAGGGCAAGCTGTGCTGTCTCTGCTCTGCTCCCCAGCACGCAGCTTAATGAGACCGGGGCCGGAATATGATGTCATATTCAGGCCCCGGTCTCATTAAGTAGCGCGGGGGAGCAGAGACAGCACAGCTTGCCCTACACACGGCAGCACTGCTTGCCCTGTGGCCGCCAGCACACCCAGCAGTCTGCCCGGCCCCAGGTGACAACAGCCCACCAGGAAATTTTCCGGTATCCTGGTGGGCCAGTCCGGCCCTGCTAATAGTGTAATAACATCAGGGGTATAAGTGGACTGTAGGTGTCCAATGGTCCAACTCACATGGGAATGAGCCTTCCAGGACCGGCTCAGATCGTATTGGCAGAAGTGTACTAGGTGACAATATTCCCTCTTTTGTCTTGAAACGAAAAGAAGTGGGGAAACCAGTAGACTTCTGGTGTAGTATGTAAGGTATGATAAAACAGATATACAATAAAAAGATCTGGCTCACGTATTCCAGAGCCCTTAATGCCTGGCTCAAGGTGATAGCGCTCTTTGCCTCTGATGGGGCACACCCTTCTTTTCAAGCAAGCAGGCAGGAGTGATTTATAGGGCTATATTATTTAATAAACATAACAATTAAAAACAAAGTAACAAAAATAAAAAGCTAGCTGCCAAGAATACAAACAAATTGTCCTTGTTCCCCCTCCTCCGAGGACACCTATAGTCCACTTATACTCCTGACGTTATTACACTATTAGTCCCATCCGAGGGTAGGTGTATCCTATAGTACCCCTTACACGCTCCACGTCACCTTTTCATACATATAATTAGATTAAGTGCTTGTAATTGATTTTCGTTAAGGGTTGTCGTGCTTTGACGCAGCGTGAGTCAATGAATTAATTGGTCACTTTGTCACAGTTTGTGATATATCTTGGAGACATGACCTATTTTAATTTAGAGCCTTAGATGTACAATTAGATGAGGTTAAAAGAGATTGCAAGCTCTTTGGGTTAATTCCATTATATCTGAAAGATACAATCGGGTTACGTATCAAATTGTTTTGGTGGAAAAAGTGAAGCAATAACTGATCTCTTGTATAAAAGATATCGAACTGTATTAACTGCGCCAAATTAGATTCAATTTGTCATTCTTTTGTTGCAAATTATGTATAAAAATAGGTTTTAAAAAATGCACCAATCTTTAGATTTCTCTGCCATCCAGGCCTGACTTGCTGTTCACCTCTCAGCCCCCCTCTCGGCCCCCCTGGTCACTGAGTTTTTCAGAACAACCTTTTCTATTCGGTGTCTGGGTGGAACGCAGCCTCCTCTTCTTCCGAAAATCTGATCCAACCGTGCTATTTCCAAACACTTTTAATTCTCCTGTTTTAACTCGTTGCTCGCCAGCAGGATCAAAAAACAAACAAAAATCAATATTTAATAGTATTTTTTTGTTGTCCTAAATAAATGTTACATTTTGTACACTAAGGATTCATGTGAGATAAATTTCTTGTGGTGTCAGGTCCATACGGGACAAGAGGAAATAGTCCAGAAAAGTACAAAAGTTAATAATAAATGCCCATCCTTCATCTGTACGGCCATATAACCGCTGTATACACATCCTGAGTCTGGCGCTAATCTATCCCCAGCTAGTGGTGTTTGATTTTACTGGCTAGCGTTTGGTGCCGGATTTCAGATTTATATTTTGTGGTTTTTTTGTCTTTGAAAAGTCTGTGAATTGGGCTCATTAATAC